TTTTTTTTTTCGGATCAAGTTCGAAATGGCCGACTGGCGGCCATTTTGTTAAAGAATTCAGTTCTGGATCCGTATCCAAGACATGTCTGGATTGATCAAGTTCAAACTTCACACACACATGGTACATCATGTCACAAATAGATATGTGCATTTGTTTCATGATCTGCTTAACAATAGCGGAATGATGGCCATTTTAAGGCCGAAAATGCATCAAAATCACGTATTTTCACAATTCCAGAACCAGATCTCAGTCATGCATGGATGGATTTTGTTCAGATTTAGCACAATGTGTTGTACATATGCAGGTGCATTTCGGTCATGATCTGCTTTGAATGTATATGTCACTCAAATATGAACGGAACGGGGACGTGTCATTGACAATGACTTGTTAATTATTAATTTGACCAAACTTAGTAGAAACTTGATTTGTCAATATAAGATGTATGCTATGCAATATTGAGTTTCAATTTAATTAACAAGCTCATCTGCATATTTAATGAATTTTGAATTTTTGTTGATATCTTGTGAACTAATGGTCCAAATGAGACCAAAGCTGGTATAGACTTACTTGATCTGTTAATATACGATATATGCTATGCAATATTGACTTTCAACTTAATTAATGAGCTAATTTGAATATTAATTTAATTTTGAATTTTGAATTTAATCTTCCTACCAGATTTTATACTTATACATTCAAACTTTATCATTCAACTATAATCACATCTGACAAGTGGGGGCTGTGTCATCTTCAGATGACTTGTTTCATGACGATATCTTTAATTATCTATTTTTGGTGAATATTTTTGTAATTTTTGACCAGTGGATTGTTCTTTTTCAGCTATTGCTATGTTTCCGAAAGGTATCAAATGCTATATTATGGAGTAAATATTTTGGGTCAGTTTTTGCCACTTTGCCACAATATTAGGCCAAAAGAAAACAACTTATGTTGCCCTCAAGTCGGAAAATTGAAAAATTTTGGTTGGTCGGTCAGATTTTTTTTGTTTTTTTTAAACTCATGAAAACTAAGGGTATCGTAAATAGCTGAGGTATATGGGAAAAAAAAACGAGACCCTATATTTCATATTTTTCGGCAATTTTTTGTTTGGCCCTTACAGTGTGCAGGTAACAAAGCAACATAGAATGTGAGGTCAAAGTAACCAATTACACTATTTTACTTGGTTGATAGTGCCTCATATAACAATAGCTTTAAATTTAGTTTTAACCATGTTTCCATGGTTACAATCACATACTGATCCTAATAGTGTGATTTGAATAATACTTAACTTCATTAACCAATATCAATTCCATACACCATCCTCAAATTTGTAGCCTGCTTTTTGGCACAGAAAATTTTGACGAAAATTTAAACTTTTTTGATCAAAAACTGGAAGCATTGTCACATTTTGTCTGTTTGGTGCAAAATTAATTGAATTTAGTGAAAATTGCCGATAATGTGAACAAATTTACCCCATTTTGAATGGTAAACAAATTCGGTGTGCAAATGTTTAAGGCCTTAGCTATATAGTTGGAGCTGTTAACTTTGAAGGAACTGTAAAAGTCAATGACCTGCATGAAGTTACAAAGTAACTGGTTAATGTGTCATTAAACTTTTTTGATAAGGTGCATAGTGATGCAGATATTTATTACTTAGTACTTGCATGTAAATGTACATTTTCTCTTCTCTAAGGGTTTTGACCATTAGAACTTGGGGGGGGGGGGTTGTTTTGGAATAATAAAAGATTTGTACTGGTAATAACATAACAAGAAAATATATATTTATAATTTATAATCATAATGAAAAAAAGAGCTCAAAACTTGGCAGAGGAAAACTTAATGGGGCTGTTATTTTAACTAACATCTCTAAGGGACGATGTCAAAAGATCGATGTCGGATAAAAAACTTATTTCCTTTAGTTTGGGGGTGGGGGGTTTTGACCTCAAAAAGTTTCCATCCGACAAAAACGATTTTATTTTTTAATGAAGTAAAAAAAATCTTGGAGTATTTTTAGTTCGTTTTTTTTCTATCCAATCACCGACAGAAATAACCGAAAAGGGAAAAAACAGAAAAATGTTTGGTTCAGTGTAAATCTGTGCGTCAAATGAGGTGCATTTGTAAAATCTTTTTACACCCACCCGACAGCCAACTGCTATGCAATACTTTTGTCCGATTATCAATTTGTATTTAATGGTGAATGTAACGCCATGACCAATATTTATCAATTAAGTTTCAGTGGGGGGTAGGGGGGTTTGGAAAAAAACTAAAGGAATTAAGTTTTTTATCCGACATCGATCTTTTGATGTCGTCCCTAAGGTTTCCTCTAATGATCAATACCATCAGACAAAATCAGATTATACATAATGTATGCCTATCCGGTATTGATTTGAAATTATCATGTGAGAGTATAATTTTCTATTGTTTTGTGGTAACATAAAATTTTATTTAAAAAACACCAAAAAACAAAGAGAGTGTATGCATGTCTAAGAGCCTGCAATAAATGCCACATTGATTGACAGTTTATCCACAAGTAACCCTCGTTGTTTTATGCTTTGTCTTTGTCTCTGATACCTCAAGAACCACTTGTTGATTTCGCTGTTTCATTTAGAATTGAAACTTGTGGAAAATCTGTAACTGACAAGAAGGCCAGTATGTTGAAAAAATAACTGGCACTGGCTTAGGGATCATACCACAAATGCTTTTTTTTTATAATTTTTTTCTATCATTTGTAAAGTAAATTCAAGTTTGCATAGTGTTCTGATTGCTTTAATTGCATGATGTATTAATATATTACAAATTATTCAATTAATATTCTATTATTTTCACTGGCCATTTAGCAAATAACACAAGCATTTATCTTCATTTACAATTTCCTAAATATGTTTTGACTATGACAAATATGAGACACAATGTTATGCACATGGATTTATTTTTCATTTTGACGACCTCTGACTGGCGGCCATTTTAATCCCTCGCAAAACATTTAAACATTTCTTCAGACATGCTTTGACCAATTGTATTCAAACTTAGTTTAAATATCACACTTGATGGTTTTGATGCATGTCTAGTTACATTGTGATTTGATTGAAAATGGCCTACTGGGAGCCATGGTGGTTTTATTTTCATATGTCTTTAAATATTTTTAGGCCATACTTTGACAGATTCTGGTCAAAGAAAGTTGTCTACTCAGTGAGTATCAATCCATTCTGAATACTCCAGTAACATTTATTTATAATCTACATCTTTCATTGTTTATTATTGACAGGGACAATGTCATCCACAACGACTTGTTTATTGTAGTTTTCTTTTTGTGTATGCTGTCATTGTTTTTATTTCACATTAGGCCTGCAACTGCCAGTTCTGCTCTAGTTGCTCTGAACTGGACGTGTATCCTAGCAACATACTGCCTGTCAGCTGGAAATGCTGGTAATGATGATGATGATGTGTGGCGCAAACTGGTAAGATATTAGAAATACTTTTATCAGCACTAAATAATAACACCAAATACTATTAATATCTTTATCTTCAAGAAAAAATATGTAATGGCAGATTCTGTAATATGACAAGTATTGTGTATTGTAAACAATCAACTCAATGTATGAAGTGCTACAACCTGGAGTCTGTACCTGCAGGTACAAACATTCAACCAGTATTGAAGACAGCGGGCACACCATCTGATTAACATACTTAATAACCATATATGATAATGTGACCTCATTAAAAATTCTTAACTATCATATGTGGGATACTATTGTAGATATACACATTAAATTAGTGCTTGTAATAAATGCTGCGAGATCAGCCATCCTTGATGACTTTCTTGTTTTTGATAGTGTACCATCATCCCTAATGGAGATGATGCACCAATTTGTAATTTTGGTGGGTTAATTGTCCACCAACTTATGTGAGTTGAAATAAACTGTTGAAGAATTGAGGGTGGGTTTAACATGAGAGGTGATAGGACTTCATTAATGAAACCATTTCAGAGATATTATGTAAAACTGCTAATGAAATTGTGTCTTACAGGTGGAAGTGCAGGTTAATCTGACATATGCTGCATTAGGTAGCAACCGTAAATCAATAAATCAGTCAGCGTATCGTAAATTAAAGAAGGTCTGGAAAGAGGTAAGAATATTTCTGTCATGCTTTCATGATTATAGAAATTTAAGTTTTGAGATTGGTTGTGTTGACTGAGTACTAGCTGGAATGTTTCGAGTATTGGGACATTTGGGAATAAATAATAATAGGAATCATTTTTGATATACGTCATTATGCAATTTTTAATTAATTTGGAGATATTTAGTCAATTTTGAAATCAAATCTCAATTACTAATAACAGAAAGGGCATAAATTGATATAATAGCAGATTGGTGTTGCTTTGATCTGGGGATTGAAGTATCATCTCAAGTGAGGACAGTCATGTTATGTGTCGTACAATTGCTCCATTTAAGCAAGATAAAAAAGGTAACAATTAAGCTGAATTTCATATTTTTCTTGCTTCTCTTTAGAATCCCACGTCTATGGACAAGTATGGCTCAACCCTGGGTGATATTGAGCAGTCATTCCATCTTATGCCAATTATTGGTCAGTTTATCAAGTACTGTGGTGAAGGCAAAGTCCCAGAAACTATAGAGAAGTATAGGAAATCTTTCCTGGATATATACATCAAATCTGTTATCATGAGCAAGACTAAACCCACTTTACATGCACTGGTAAGAATATGAAATAAAGTCTTTACAGTTTAGACAATATCATTCTAGGAGTAAACTTTACAGATACAGTAGCTCCTACATAACTACTGTTACCATAACAACCACAAGACACAACGACTACTAACGCTTTGTAGGTTTTTCAAAATATTTTAATTGACTCCCATGTGCGAAGCACAAAATGGGAGTCTTTGCGGTTAGTGTGTATGTATGTGTGTATGTGTGTGTGTGTGTGTGTGTGTGTGTGTGTGTGTGTGTGTGTGTGTGTGTGTGTGTGTGTGTGTGTGTGTATGTGTGTGTGTGTGTCCGTCTGTTCCACTGATATCTCAAGAACCATACATCAGTTTTTGATGAAACTTGGTGCATAGATGCTCTGGGCTAATGCGCAGAATTGATTAGGTTTTGGTAAAATTCCATGCATATTAATTACTTAATTTGCATGATAATAAGCTAATTTTTAGCTGTTCCATGATTGTTCCATTGATATCTAAAGAACTACTTATTGGATTTTGATGAAACTTGGTACATGGATGCTCTGAACTAATTCTTGGTTTTGATTAGTTTTTGGTAAAAATTACCTACCGTATTACCCCGGGCACGCGCCCCTCTCTGGGCAAGTGCCCACCCCCCTGTTTTCACAAAAGTTACATGTTGGGGACATCCTCGGTTAAACGCCCAGGGTGATTTTTAGCCAAGAACTGGGTCAACAATAAAGTTTTATTTGTCAAAAACGAACGCGTTTGATTTACGGTAGTTCTCTTTTTGGAGTGTGTGGTAGCCCTGAAAAGGACCGTTTTGTTTTTACGTAAAAACTCATTGGAACTTAACGACGTAAGATGAACCACGCAGCATGTGGCGCACACGTTCTGCTTTCTCTTCATTCACGATGAATCCAATATTGCAATAATCCATACCTTGGTGAGTGATTTGAAGCACTTAGGTTTGGTTTCAAAATGTAGCACTTCGCTGACTGTGAATCCATAACGGGAGCACAGTCAGCTGGCATCTGTGTCGCTGGGTGTATATGATAGAGGGAAGTTGTGCAACCAAATTTGCAGTTCGCAGTTTTTCGTCGATAAAAAAATAACTAAGGCAAAAACTCACGGCTTTCAGAATTTTTGTAATAAAAGACATTATTCTCTATCAATAATCCGCCCAAAATAGAAACATTTCTACTAATTCTTGGGTTTTTTCGTCGTTTTTCGAAAAACCTGCGATTAGGCTGCGAAAGTAGACATTCCGGAGGGGGTGAAACGGAATAGTATCACCAGGCGATGGACGCAGGGCTTTTTGGCAACGGCCGCAAACGTATCCGTGTCCAGCCATTGGTTGGCCATGTAGAGGTCAAAATACGCGTTCTATTTTTACGCGTTAAGTTTGGCTCTTCCGTCTCTAGTACGTCCATGGATAGAGGGAAGTTGTGCAACAAATAGTACGTCCATGCTCTATCATATACACCCAGCGACACCGATGCCAGCTGACTGTGAACGGGGGCTAGCACTTTTGAGACATCACGTTGTAAACTTCCTACTTACTTTCCATTCTTCATCACAGCTATGGCATTACGGTCATGTGGATTATTTTTCTGTCGTTGAAGAAAAAACATTTTGCCGACCTCAAGTCCATTACGATAACCATAATGAGGCATGCCGATGATGGGAACTTGTTGCATCATAATTTTGTCATGTGTGTGGGTGCGTGAATAAATCCAATCTGATTAAAATCTGATGTAGTGTACGGGCTTTAATTATTTTGGCTATAAACTTATTTTAATTTAATTTTTTATTACTTTTGTTATTAATGCCCTTTTATTTTATTTTATTTTATTATTTTACTTTGATTTTGATTTTGTGATTTTTTTTAATTCCGCCCTACCTACATCTGAGCCGATGCCTATGTAACGAGATTTCAACGAGACCCACTATCGACGATTTTAGTCAATGAATCACATACCTCCTTCTATAGCGCACATGATGACGTCACCCGGCGGAGTCGGGTGGCAAAGACACTCAAATAAAATGGCGGATTATACCGACGTTAGCGACCGAGAATAACACGGCTTTTCGGTAAGTTTATCATTGTCAAATGCAACGAAAGTCATTTTTATGTTAATATTGTGGCTCGAATGGTTCGACTTTAGATCGTTATTTTGCATAGTTATTCTGGAAGTGACGATTTTGTTTCCGCCGTTTCGACCAAACACCAGTGTCTTTT